AATAATAAGGTTGGGGCTCATTGATTTTTGGATAATTCCTGAAGAGATGAGCTTTTCCACTTAGTGACTCTGTAAAAAGCTCTTTTTTTAGGTTTTATGTCAATTTTAATCAAATTTCAAAATCAGTGCTTGTATACTCAGCACACCTTTACGCCAAAGTAAAGGGTTTGGAAAGAGTTTAAGTTAAGAATAGCTGACTTGAGAAGTAAAGAGGATGGTTGAGATGTCATCCTGAAACATTTATTTTAGTCTGCTGCATCATTTGAACTTTCTACTCTAGAAATAACTTCAACAATTTTTGTCTGCTTTGTTCATTTCTGTCATTCAGTACTGAGAACAAAACAGTCTGACAGCKAAAACTAACACATTTTCAAATGTTTAAAAAGATTTCTTTAAAGCTGAAGTCAAATTATGACCATTTAAGTGAGCGACATTAAACRTAGCAAATTACTGGATATTACACTTGTGATAAAATACTGTCTGTGCATTCCAACTGGCTTTTTTTTTCTTCTTCACGTTATCGTGCTTTTTCTGATCACAGCTTTCACCTTCACCCTTCTGCTGCATGCTTGACCACGGCCTCTTCTGGCTCTCCTTTACCAGTTAGATCTTGCTCTGGGTTTGCACTGGGTTGAACGGGTCGGGGCAGCATGGAGAGTCAGGGTAACTGTAATTAGTATTTAATTTAAATGCAATGCTGAGGAAGAATTAAGAGGGGGTGTTTTGGTGAGGTCACTGGTGGCCAGATGTTTGGGTGGTGGACGGTTTTGTTTGTGTGAGGTAAGCGATAGGAGTGGATGAACGCAGACCGGAGACTAAAAAACCGGCTTTTAATTAACTTAATCACACAAAACTAACAAAACACGATGCGGTGGGAGCGTGCATGTCGCCCAAAACGAGGAAAGTATGAGCTTGTGTGTGTTTTTGTGCGTCAGTTCTCACTAGTTGTGCTAAGTGATTTTTGGCAGGGGGATTTCTTGGCCTGTGGTCAGGCTGAGCGAGGCAAGCGCTCAGTTAGGCAGCAGGCAGCTTAAGCCAAACCACTAATCAACACATTGGACTGCYGCCATCTTACAGACACACTGATGTTTTCACTGGCTGATTAAACAGCTCTTAGCACATTGGATTTTTATTGCGTTCATGAAATGTGTTTACTTTCAGTTAAAACATTACTTAACATCACCATTATGACGATGACAGGGTGGGGGCTCGTCCTGTCTTGTTTTTTTTGCGGGAGGTTGGGGACTATTGGATCGTGTGCAGCAGTTGGCTCATAACAACATAAAAACGCTTAAAAAAATCTGTTCTTGTGAAGAGTTGGTGGCATTCAAACATTTGGACACACTGGTCAAAATGTCTGTTAATATGAATGGTTAAGTCAGGATATAATGAATTGAAATTCAAAAGATAAGTGAAAAAACAAAGCAATAATTTTGATTTGTATGGCAAAATAAGGCCATCAACCTTTTTAAACATAAAGGGTTAACCTAGGCTCTTTGAACGGGTTCTTCTTCGTTGAAACGTTTTCCCTTCAAGAGACTTTCAGCCTGAGGAGTTGTAGCTCAGCCTTATAAGTAGGGCTGCAACGATCAATCAATTAATCAACAACTAATCAATTATTAAAATAATCGATGACTAATTTAATAATCAATTAATCGTTTTCTTTCTTTTTTTGTTCTTTACTTTGTTTCTCTCTCCAAACTGCTTTGACACTTTCCACTGCCACATTTGCCTTTCTGTCCTTAACACACATGCACAGTAGTGGTAACTGGGGTAGGCCGTGGACGTCACAAGTAGGGCTGCACCGATTAGTTGAAATAATCGATGACGTCGAATATGTAAATTTTTCGACGCATATTTTTTTATTATAAATTCTCTGTTTTACATAACCACCAGGTGAATGTTCATGCAGTTCCGTTTCGGTACCTAAAAACATCATTGCGACCGTATTGGCATAAGAGTGGTGAGCTTTTCATGAAAATATTACAATTATAGAAAATATTACAA